GGGGGGCCCGTTGATTAATCCGACGATGACATTAATTTGACTGTGGTAGGGGCAGGGTGCTCAATTTGTGCATAGACAGTCGGGTTTTGAAGCACAGCCTGTTCAAAAACCAACCCTCTCAGCCTTCATCCACACTTCAGCATGGAAGCAGTGCTGAAGGAATGCCGCAAGCGCGGTGCAGTGCTGCAGCCCCTGTCTACAAAAGCACCGGTTAGTTTTGGTTCGTGGCCTGAGTTGCTTGGGCACTTCAGGTAGGGCTGTCAGGCGGCATCCAGGTGCTGGAGCCTGCTGGCGACCACCTTGTCACAGAGGAGGGGATTGTTGATGGTAATTGTTTTTTTACTTACTGATTACCGTATATGGCATATGGTAACTGTACCGTAACTTTACATTTATGCTGCTTGGACGATAAGTCATGTAACATCCACCGAAAGATTGCCTTTTTACCTGCCACCATTTTGGAGCAAGATGGACATCACTTAAGGTAACAGGAACTTTCACCAAAGCAAGGGAAACTTTGTGGCTGCCTTGCAGGACACCATCAGGCGCTTTGGAGGTTCCACTGCACCATCAGCACCATGGCCGCGAGAGCCAGCTCCCGAGGAGGCGGGTGCATATTGAAGTGTCTTGTCACACTTGGACGGTTTTTGGACACTACTTCCTTTCTCCCTGCAAGTGTGAATCACGCGGGTTTGGCGGGAGAGACGTTGTTGTGCAGGAAGCCGACAAGATCAATCATCTGGATACTCGGCCAAGACAAGCCGTTATTGCAAATTGTGTCGAGGCTTGACATACTCTTGACTTGATATGAAGTTACAGAATAGCAATCAGAGTTGTACAGGATAAGGATTTTCTTTGGGTCACTGCCAAATGCAACAGTTCTCAAGAAGGAAATGCTCGACCTTGGCTTTGTGGGTCTGGTTTTGTTCCTTTCTGCTTGGCAAGGTGGGCTCCAGTGTTTCGGGGATTGTGATATATGGGAAGGTCTTCACGAAAGCTGTACCATACTGGTCTCTTCGTGATCGCAACGTAGGGCTTGATAGTTTTCGATAGTTTTCCATGATGATCTACTTTGTGGTCTGTGGTGCGTTCTGAGTCTGGTATGGTCTGGTGGCTTGAGGCGCTGCGCCCTCCCCATAATTTTTTGCCAATGCGCTGCGCTTTCCATGACAGATTTCTTAAACGTCACGTCGCCCATCGCATTTTCACACAAAATATTGCATGCCCTCGCCGAAGTCGGCCGCCGAAGTCTTTTGGCTTATGCGTTGCAAAAATATGCCAAAATCCTTGCGTTGTCCTCTGGTGGGTGGTAGGAACCACCTTTCCTATGTCCGACGTGTCTATCCTTTCGTTGTTTCTTTTTCTTTGTGTTTTGGTTGGCTCTGCAGGGTGGCTGCCTGATCCTTTTGTCGCCCGCCCTGCTGCTGTTGTCCTTTCCGTGTTCTCTTTTCCCTTTCATTGCTCGCCGGGAGCATTGTTTTGTTGATCCCTTTTTGCTTTTTGATCCCCGTCGAATATGTTTCAATTGATTCTATCTATCTATTTATTTTGTTTTGATCCCTTCCATTCAAATCAGGGCGGCGTTTAGGAAGGACAGAAGTGGCAGCCATAGTCTTGCAGCCTTCAGGAGAAGAAACTCACCAAGATTATCAAGTCTGGCAGCAAGGGCAAACGCGGCCGTGGTGGCAGCAGCAGCAGTGGTGCAGGTGGAAGCGGCACAGGTGCCACAGTGCGGTGAAAAGCTGCAAGGACTTCAGCACAATTGTTTCTGTTGGGACCATTCCCACAGCGTTGAAGCGACTACTGTATCCGGTCTCGTTGTTGGTGTGCACTGAATCGAGAGAAAAGTCGCTTCTCCTAATCGCCAGTTGTTTACGGGTCAATAGCGGCATTGCTGGACAAGAGCACAACCAAACGCATCCCAAACGCTGTTCAAACACCTAGCAAGACGTGCAGTTGTTTTCCTCACTTTTTGCCAGGCTCAGCTTCCGTGAGCGGAGCAAGCATGCAGTCTAGCGGAAATGGCTCTGGGTGATGGAATCATTTGCACGCATGACAGCGCTTAGACCTAGGCATGTCAAAGCCACCTGTGCTGTAATTAGGTTCAATTCGACCCGTGTGGACACGCGCTGGGGTGAACAAGGGTGCTTTGTCAGGGAACGATTTCATGAAAGTACAGTCTGGTTTGGCTCACCCTGCGCATCAAATTTACCTGACAAATGTCAATCTTGTACGTAGTTTGATCGACAACCAAGTGTTACGTTGATATAGGATGGCCGCTAAGTGGCTTTCTACCAAGGCAACTCTTGTGCCGTAGGTACCTGAGGTGCCTTCGTCGGTGTTTCAGATTTCACAAGACCACTACTATCACTATCAGCGAGCTGGCTCCTTGTTCAGCATTGCATTGAGAAGTGAGGTGACAAGTGAGCAAGTGAGAACAAAGATGTGCTACTGCTGGGCTGGCTGATGGATTTGCTGCTTGTGGTTGGACATGGGCCTGCCTCATTGGCGCTCCTTGATGACATAAATGTCCAGTCTGAAAAGAGAAGCATCAGCCCAGCTGTATAGCTACGTTGCCTTGAGTGATCTTGAGTGTTAGTGTATGGTGCTGGAATGTGCTTGAGTTGTTGAAGTAATTCACGGAACTTGTATAAAGCTTTTGGCTTTGGGTTGCAATGTTCGACTATGTAACATATGCTATTTGCTATCATATGGTTGGAAGGCAAGCTTAAGCTGCAGCAGCCAATCCTGGAGAAGACAATCAATGTCAAAACGTGGCAGTCCTGGTAGTGGGATATGTTTTATGTTTTCCCCAGGCCAACCCAAGCCAGTGAAAAGACGGGGGGTCAAGAAAAGTTACAGGTTGTCGATGAATCATTCAGCGCCCGCGGCATGATGAGATGACTGTGCTTTGCCATGCCGAGCATGCATGTGGAAGCTTGCAGCTTTGCGCTATTCTCGGTGTGAATTCAGACAATATCACCAAAGTCTAAGTATGACCTGGCATTGACCTTTGTTCCTTCCCGGAATTGTGTAGCCATGTGCACCCAAGGCCGCTGGCCCTTGCAAGTTTGGAGCTACAATGTTTGCAGTTGCTGCACAGGTGAAAAAAGAGCAACAGCATGTATAAGCTGGAAAATGCCAGAAATGCTATTTGGAACCAACAGCGATTCCTGGGCGAGAGGAACCATGGTATTTTTTCAGCCGTCCACGAGCTTCAAGACCACCAAGAGGCAACGCTTTGGCTTTATATTGGCACGACCCATAAGGGTTCATAGGCCCTTTAGGCTTTGCCTGCCTCAGGAATTCACAGCAGCCTGCCACCAGCTTTCCGCCGGGACCTGTGCTAGTTGTCGATAGGATTGGATCGGTCTAATTCAGTTATGCGTTTTCAAAAGATGTCCAATATGTCCACTTTAGTCTATATACCTGATCAGATAACTTTTTTTGGGACGTTGTGTCGTTCTCTATGAAAACCATGTGGCGTGGGACGCCGAAGGCCACTACTGCCCTGCGTGTGCATTTGCCGCGGAAGAGGGAGTAGCTTCCCTGGCATGCTGGGATTGAAAGTATGCACTAGTGGAAAGCACTGCACTGCAGCATTGAACTTGGCTGCAGGTATTTAGAGCGGATCAGGCTAGAACTGGAAGCAAGAGGCCGAACTGAGCATCAAAGCTTGTGATATTGTTGCCTTTAGCAAGATGGTTTGTGGCATTCTTGCACATATTGAGGCCAAGTGCTACTTGGAAACCTTTCTGCTCAGTTGTTCATATGCCTGCCAAGTGCCTGTATTTCCCATTCTTCCTTGGTGCGCCTTGTGGCTTGGCATCAGTTTCCAGAAATGGAGAGTGCGAGACCTTTTCAACAGAACCCCGTTCTGGCGTGTGGGCAAGTTGCAAGTGTATCGGACTCTCGGCCTTTTGACCTCAGTTGTCAGGTGATTCACTATTGTATTTTGACGACCTGGTTTCAGGCTGGGCGTGCTGTGATGCCATCAGCTGACCTGGCAATTCCGAGAAACACTCGTCGCAAACGCAAAAGCTTAGAACATGCTTTTGCCAACCTTGCGCCAAGAGTCATTATGCGTTTAAGCTCCTTGTTCACGGTTGATGAACTGCGTACTATTTGTGAACAAGTTCCTTTTTGTGAAAATACTCCGGGTGAAGCCTTTTTGGAAGTAAGTCACCATTTTTCTTCAATACGTGAGTAGGCTGCTTTTTGTGAACTCGCTCTTTGTAGTTTCCTCTTTTTAATCCCGAATATCTTCCCTTTAAAAACCGCTGCCCAATAAAAGGATACAAAAGGAAACTCATGTCGGAGACCCCTAAATACGGTGTATATCATTTATATATATATATATATATACTGTAGTATATGAATATATGCTTTTAAATTGCCGCCCTTTAAAACCGCTACTAAACTACCAACATGGCCGATTTTGGGTGAGTATTTCTACTAGGTTCCTAAAGCAACCCTAACTGTCCACCTTTGTCCACTCTGTTTGTCCACCATGACACGCCGCGTCTACACCAGCATGCTCTTATTCCCCCATTGGTACGGACGCACTCACGCAAACGCACTTTCCACCCAGGCTGCGCAAAACCGAATGGCACAGCGACATCACCTTTTGAAAGCTTTGGTTGTTAGTCTAATGAAGAATCACTATTATAGGGAATCACACTTTGATGGCACTCGCAAAACACCTTTGTCGTTGATATGCCATCAATTTGTGATCTCTACTTGGGAAATGCCATCAACCACTTGAGGCTAGATCCTGGAACAAACAGATGGCATTTAGTGAGACTCTGAAAAACGACGTCCTTCAAAATGCTTCAACCACCGGCGGGACTTACATGCAGACATGTGTGCACCAAACAGGTTGATGGCAACTGGGCTTGATTCTTTTTCCGGACTGTACGTTGATGTTGTTATTGTGTTGTCATTTGGATGGAAGGGTGTCTAAGGGTGTCCTGAGTCTGAGTGTGCAGGAACAGCTCAGTAGTCGCGAATAGGAGTTGTTCACATGTGGGCGACAGAATCCTCAAATTGCAGAGTCAGATTACAACACACTTTGATGGCATCCACGCTCAAGACATAGGTCTCCGGTAAGGTCTTATATAGTGGTACCCCATTTCCATCAATTTGTGCCAGAGGCGGGATGCCATCAAAGCGTGATTCCCTATACTTCAATAAAGGGTTATTTGCAAATGGAAAAGGGAAGACCCTTCGATGTGGAGGTTTTTCAATTTTGATACGAGCTCAAAAAGGGATTAATGATTTACTGTACATACTTAAAACTTTCCTAGGCGACTTTTCGGTTTTGAAGCTTTTCCCAGGCTTCCATTTTTGCGGGATTCCCGGACCTCCTATTTAAAGAACGCGCCCGATCTCTTTTAATGGGGGGCCGTGTATTTCGACTGTTTTTGACCGTGTGCAGAACTGCAGGGGGGCAATGAACACTTTGGAAGGCCTGGAAGGCATTGCCCAACGAAGACTGTTCCATCGTGTTGTGATATGACTTTGGGACGCCAGAGTCACGTACCTGCAAAAATTTTATTTTCATTCTAAGGGGCTAGTGCGTTTTGTTGAAACCTTCTTTTTGACCGACCGAGCACTTCATGCCGTTGATTCAAGTCAAGTGCTAAATATTCAGTAGCTAGCTTCCAAACCGATACAGCCCTTCCGAGCATGGATCTAAGTGTGCGCGTGCCCTCGTACAAGCGTGGGGCTTGGGTGAACACTGCCAAGTAGAGGAGTTTAATTTCATTTGGGTTGGCGCACACGTCTACAAACCCGTCAACTTTGCGAATGCCGAAGGTGGCGCCTCCACTTCCTCAAGCCCTTCAGCCGAGCGAGCTGAGATGGAAATTTCTGACCATAGACCCTGAGCTGTCGAACGAAAGTTTGGCCAACTCCAGCTTTGGCCAGTGCGTTTGCAGTCAAGACATGGGTAGGCGGGGCGGCATTTGGCATGACATGGGTGGATCAAGCCTTTTGGTGCATGTTTTGGGCAGGCGTCGAAGTGGTGTTTTCACAGTCCACGAGGCACACTCATTGACCCAGGAGCTCTCAAATCTTGAGACAAACATTAGACTGCTAACAAAGTCCGGAAATGCGGCCTAACCTTTACTCTGACCTGCCAGTATGCAATTGTTTTCTCCGGAGTTACTACACCAAATGCAAAGTTAGAGATTCAAATCCTCACGCTGCAGGACCTTCAAAGACCAGGCGAGATCGTGCCTGCTTTGTTTGACAGTCAAACGTGGCATCATGGCGCGGCTCAGCGGTGTTGAAGAAGTACATGTTTGGTATTGCTACTGCATGGGCGAGCAGCCAAATGTCTTCCAACCTGACAGCTCTGGAAGATCCAGAGTGAGTCGAACATAACAAATCCTACCGGCGTAGATTGGAGCGGCATTGGAGCGGCCCTGGAAGCCATAAATGAACAACTAAACAATGAAACATCTAAATGCAGACCTGCAACCTCATGGTAGGCTTGAAATCCTGACCCCACCCACCCACCCACCCATCACCATCGGGCCCCCCACAACCCGCCCGCATCACCGAAGCATTGTCAGAAAGTATGCCATTCAGTAAGGCGGTAAAAGATCCGTTTGCAAAAAACATTTGGCCTCAACGCTGCACGCTGGTTTCAGAACACTCTGATCTTAGTTTCTTGCTTTCGTGCATTGGTGTAATTGTTCCTGCATTGGGGACCAGCCAAGTTGTGCCTCGGTGTCAGATCATTGCAAAGAGGAAAGAAAGACACTGACAATCCTTTTCTTTACTTTGGCTCATTCCAGTATACGTACCGAATAAGATTAGACAATGACTAAGACATGTTACGAACTTCCTTTTTCTTTGTGCATCGACAAAGAAACGATGTGGACACAGGGATCAGCTCCGCTGCAGTACAGTACGGGACAGCTAGCAGCTAGCAGCACGCGACTAGACAGAGACTGCCTGCAAGAAGGCGTCGCTTTGATTTAGGCAACTGTCCTGACCTTGGCTGTGTCGACCTCCTAGTACTCGTATAAAATAGGATGAGCGCTGCCTTCAGAAACTATTTTGGGGTGGAGGCGTCTCCAAATAATTTTCTAGCTATATGTGTTCCACAAACATTTCTAGAAAGGGGTAGGTGCTTGGACCCCTGAATCTCAAATAATTTATGTAGCAATAACTTGGTGGTAGGTTGTCAAAAATAGTTGTCCTTCAAAAGGTAAGGATGTCAACATATTTTTTGCCTAAGATAGGTCAAGGACCTAGATTTTAAGGAGCTACCTCAAAACTTTCTGAAGGATAGATCATCGTACTTCAAAATAATTTCGGAAGGTCGAATAGTCGAACGTGGAACAGGGTGGTTAGGTCCCCCACCCCCAAAATAACTTCTTAGTCGAACTTGCTGGCACTGAGAAAGGTGGTGGTGGGGAGGGGGCACCCCAGCCCCAACATAAATTCACATCACACAGACGAAGCTGATCGCAACTCTGTCGGATAGAAGCTGGAAAAGGATCATGAAAGAGACGATAATAGGCGACGTCTCTTGTTGATTCTTGTTGCTGTCGTGTTCAATTCTTTACTATTCTTTACTTTCCAACACTTTCCTACACTTTCCTATGGCTGTCATTTGTAATTATGAAATGTTTGTCCGTTTCTTGTAAGAGCTTCCCCCCAGCATGCCACCAGGGGGGTATTACCTTTCTACCTTTCTTGTAAGCGCTTTCCCCAACGCTTGAATATTTTTGTTCATGGGTCAGACACCTGCGAGGAATAATTATGAGCGGGTGGGGTGCACATACCTCAAAATAACTCTTAATTATGACAGGGTACCCACCTCCTTCCCCACCTACAGGGGAGGGGCCATGAAATAGTCTAGATGGTCTAGAGTTTAGGGCCATTGATTAATGTCGACACCGGATTAATAAATGCCCCCCCCTTCAAGGTCAACAAGGTCTGAGATTGGAGGTATCTGAGGACCACATCCGACTAACAAAGGTGATGACCTGATGATGGATGATGAGATGAGGACCTGGACCTGATGATGGATGATGGTTCATGAGATTCTGTCATGAGAGATTGAACCATGATCAGAATGATTGATGGATGACAGGATGAGCATGGGAAAAGGGTGGATCAGAATGCTATCTCTCAAAGAGATGGCATGAGACAAGGGTGGATCAGAAGATCAGTTTCACCATGGACCAGAAGATATTGAACAGTAGAAAAAAGAAAGTAACTTAAGCATACATATATAATTAGACCCAATTTTTTTGAATACTTGGGCAGCTGGGATTGATGAATAGGGGGAGGTTTCTGCACAGAAAAGTATTATTAGGGTGATAGTGATGCCAAGGTGGAAATCTAGGTTTTCAATTAGTTTAGTATTGGAGGGGTGGAGCTGGGATTGATTAATAGGGGGTGGTTACTTAATCCTGTGTCAACATTATGTTGCTTTGGTTCCCCAACTCCTGAGATGTGTCGACGTGTTCAACAAGACAGTTCATCGAGAACAAACTATGTGCAAGGATAATGACAAAATGACAAGACAATTACATTTTACAAAAATCAAAATGAACCACTTTTTGAAGTGGTTGTGAGTACTCAATTGTTGCTTTATTATAAATCCACAGTTCTCTCCTTGGGTTCCTTCTGTTTTGTTCAGGACAATTGCGAAGACAAGCGTTGAAGCGGATTGGTCCATCTGATCCACTACACAGGGAGCAGCTGGGACCGGCTTTATTGAACACCTTCCTCCTCCCAGCCATGTAGCAGCCGTGCCCCATGCCCCATGCCCCGGGTCGACGGCTCGTTGACGACCCAGGATGCCCCATCACATTGCAGACCTGATGCCAAAACAGTGCTACCATGCCTACGCACGGCATGAGTCAGGCAGCCCCTCAGTGAAAAAACAAGTTGTTGAAGTATAAGTACATCAAGATCGTGTATGCTGCGGTTGGCATGTGTCTTAGAGTTTAGCGAAGCCACTTGTGTTTCTTTAGCTCACGACACTCCAGACATGACTAACAATTTGTTGTACCAGTTTAGTGTGCTGGTTCGACCTAACATGTGCATTGTTTTTTTGGGTTTGTTTCCCTTTGAACTTGAAAGCGCTCCGACAGAATTACCGAGCCTTATCATTTATCCTGTTCCATGCTAGTCTCAGGCTGTGCAGCAGCATCATTGAGTCGTGCTTTGGTATTGGCTGCTGCTGCGAGGCAACCAGCAACATTGCTTGCACGCCTCGATGATGCAGTGCTGGCAGCTTTGGCAGCTTGCATGAAGAGAGTGTCACTCAAGAAACACACATCGCAGAGAGAGAGAGAGAGAGTGTGTGCCATGTTTGGCCGTCACCCTTTCTCAAAGGCCATGAGAGATTGTCCCTGGCCACTCCTGGATGCATTTGCTTGCAACAATTGTGTTGCTCCGCCCGTTGGCTTTCGTCCAGCTGCATTGTTGCAGAAGACTAGAGCCGCGCACGCAGCCTTTGCACGAGGCGTGGTTGTTGGTTGTATTTGCTCCAGAGATCAAGTTCATTGGAAACGATTGCGCTCGCTTCGCCAGTTATTTTCAAGTGACCGATGCATGAACAGTTTCCAGTGTGCAGGACAAACGCTATTCAAGGATCCACTCAGATGGACAAGTGGCGAGCTTTCCTGCAAGCCAGCGGCAACAGATGCTTTGTATGAGGACTTCCTTTGCGGTGGATGTCCCTGTTTTCTTCTGTGGTAGATGAGTCTGGCCACATACAACGGGAACTTGCACAGCTGAAGCCCAAGCCATAGGCCCGAGCAATTGGCCAGCTAAAGAATCCAATGGCAGCAAAGAGTGTGGCATGTTTGCATCTCTGGCTATACGTAGCCTTGCAATCCTGTCCAAGTTTCACTATGTTTCAGGCACTTTCTGTGACATGCAGCTTTGTTGTGTCACTTGGTTTCACAGGCAGCTGCAGAATTCTTTGCCAAGGTATTTGGCCGCCCTGCCTAATGACTACCCAACTTTGCGGAGAAGCCTATTTGCAGCAAGTACATGTAAGTACTGTAACTCATTTGTGTCGTATCCATCAACTTTTAGAGGCACACCGCAGGAAAAGCCTCCCTTGCCTCCAGCTCACCCTGCACGGACCATATACACACACTCGGGATATTGCGTGGTGAATTGAAAGCCACTCGCCACACGGCACTAAGTGAAAAAGGTCCTGAGTAAAACGGCAAACGGCCATCGCATGTAGGTGGGAGGCCATCGCAACGGGTGGGGGGCCATCGCTAGTAGGTTGGTTGCGTGCAGAAAAGAGTAGAAAAGACAGCAGTTGGAACTCACATCACAGCCTGATTCAACAGGAAGCGTAGGTTGGAGGCCATCGCATTTAGGTTGGAGGCCATCACATCTAGGTGAGGGGCCAGCGCAACAGGTTGGAGGCCAGCACTAGAAGGTTGGCTGCATACAAAACTCAGCGGACAGGCTGCACACACGGCGCACAGGCACGTGCACACTTCCAATCTTTGAGTGACAAGCAACCGATACAGCAGGTAGAAGCAAAACTAGTTCCACACGGTGAACGAGACAGATGAATTGCTCTAGGATGCTCTAGGTAAATTAGACCAAAAAAAATATACAGCCTTTTGTTCTAGGGAGCGGGACGCCGGACGAATTGCTCCTAGTGGTAGGGAAAAGAAAGAGAACCGACACACAAGTCTGCCGACGATCTTTGCCTCTAGTTTGCCAGCGAGACGTAGGAGTGGCTCTGTGGGATAGACACAGGTACATCCAGCTGAGAGATTGAAATAACCCCGCGCTCAGCGGTTTGGTATTGGCATGCACCTTAACACTACTAATGCGTTCCTGCCAAAATGGCAACCTGCAGAGATGTTTGGAACGATCATGAAAACAATAACGATAAGGACATGTAGCAAAAAACATCCCTGGTGGGCAAGTACCCCTTTGACTGTGTTCATTAGACCTTTTCAAGGGCAGAAGTGTGCGGCGCGGTGGTTTTATTTAGCTGTTTATATCATATCTGATCTTTGCTACTGCCATGTCTTTACCACCAAAGACCATGCTTGGAAACCTGCTAATTTGACGGTTCTTGTGTGCAAGGATCCCAACACCCGAGAAAACGATAAGAGCAAAAAACGATAACATGATTTCGAAGTGTTGCAAAAGACACGGGATTTTTTCAACACCCCAGCTGGCCAAGCTGGGTATCCCATTTCACTGGTAGCTTCGTTGGACACCGTTTGCTGCCTCCCCCTGCTTTAAATTATTGGTCAATAGGCCCCCTGTGACTCCAAGGGCTTCACACACGCACATTGGTTTCCGTGCATCAAATCTGTCCAGCGCATGTCCTTGCACCCCTGTCATCAACTTGAGTCATCTCAAAGAACTGCATGTTGACTTGTCGGCCCTTTTGTGCATTGCATTGCTGGCAACACTGCAGCTGTTGTTGTTGTGGTTGTGGCTGTGGTTGTTGTGGCAGCCATGGTCAGTGGGCAAGTGCCTACTGGGGGTGGGCAAGTGCCTACTGGGGGTGGGAAAATAGTGACCAAGCATCAGCATCGGTGGGCAAACACTTTCGCCGGTGACCGCCTGTGCAGTCACAGCCTACTCATATATGGAGGGGGACAAGTGAAAAGGTGGGACTGTTTGTGGCAAGGCGTCAGCAACAAAACCAATAGTGTGACGAGCCAACAAGTGGAATGGCAAAGACAAACACAGTGGACAGCAAAAGGGCCTGTATGAGTTATGCGTTCTGGAAAGAGATCTTCGAATTCGAACAAAGACCACCAGTGACAATCAACAGTTTTTTCGTCGTACTGGGACCGCTGCTCAGTCAGTCATTGTTGATCCAGATCGAATAAAACATCGGTTTTTATATTAGGGGGAATTAGAAGGCATCATCCGCCGCGGGGTCCCCTTCGTGATCCTCCGTGACAAATATTCACGTACCAGCAAGACCGAGAGATTGCCAGTGGTGTCAGGAAGCATTCAGCTGCGCGCTGGCAGTTCATTGCAGCATGTGAACCGATTTACTCATGGGAGTGCCATCCATGTGCTTCCCGCGAGTGGCAACTGATTAGCGATTAGCGGCAAAAGAGGCAGATGCTCACTGCTGGCACAACGAAAGCCCTCAAGGATCACCTGACTCGGAGTTTCAATTTGTTCAACAAAAACGGCGCCAGGCCATGCAGGAACGCATGTTTGCTTTCTGGCAGTTTCACATTCTTAGGACTGTGCAGCTATAGTAACATCATATTTATGTATAGGTATAACATATAGATACATATAGTATTTTAGCCTCAGGTCATGGGATACAAGGTCTAGACGGTCTAGAGTCTCAAAGAATCCAGATCACAATGCGTTTCCCACTTGCACAGATCAAGCAGCAATGCAGCAACTCCTGCAATAACTTGCCACTTGGATCGCTCTAGCACCAAACTTCATAAGACGAATGAAGATTAAGAAGAGAGAAGGAATAAGAACTGTCCAAAGGTCTAAAGAAATAGATAGGACACCAAATGACAAAAAAACAAATAGGAAAACTGCCTCCACTTGACCAACTCTCCACATCAACAAACAAGGTATGGCAAAATGTGCGAAGTTAAGTACATGAGAGTCTTCCGTCCGTTGATGCAAGTCGATTGTGTCATGCTTGATGAACACAAGGAGAGAGGAGAGATTCCGCGAAAGGCCGGCGACTGGACGGCGAAAGGCATGCACCAGCATACCATGGCATACGCAATGCACTCTTATATATAAATATGTATATGAAGCCTCATAAACAGCTGGAAGTCAGTGAATCACTACGAACCCAGACATACATACATACCTATAATTTTGTAGGTATGTATGTTTCCCCAGACATACATACATACCTTTAACATACATACATACCTATAATTTTCTGGGTATGTATGTTTCCCCAGACATACATACATACCTATAATTTTCTAGGTATGTATGTTTCCCC